CAATTCTGTTTTATTGCCTTTTTATCTGAAAGGGCAGCAGTGCCAGCAGCAGCCTCTGGGCTTTTTATTCCTGGAATCCTCACGACAAGACCCAGTCCCTCTGCCCTGGCTGCTCAGAGGGGCCTCAGAAGGTGCAGAGGGACATCAAGGCCCTTTGGTTCCTGCTTGAGCAACACACCAGCTCAGAGTCCACGCCAAGAGGGCTCACAAGGGAGTCCCCAGGGCCACGGCTTTATCACAGGGATGGTTTTGGCACCGAAAGCTGCAGCAGAGGCACAGGGAAAACCCCCTGGCAGCACCAAGGCTGCGGCAGCCGGGCTGGGGAGCAGCTGCCACCTCCTGCCACCCCCCGGCACGTGCCCCTCAGCCCTTTGGGGGGTGGAAAAGAAAGCCCAGGATTTCTCAACCTGCAGCACGAGCTGCTCAGCGTGGAGAAAAAAGAAAAAAAAAAGCAAAACCACCCCAAAACTCCCCTGCCCAAGTGGCCCAGCCTGACATTTGGCTTCAGGCCGAGGGCCTGGGGCTGCTGGGACAAGGGAGTGAAGTTGCCTCCAAAATCCACCCTGAGGGTCACGTTAGGCTTCTGAGCAGCTGGTTTCCATGATCTGATTTCTCAAACCATGATAACTAGTTTCTGTCTTATGACCATTAAGGGCTATAAATAGCATTTGTGTTATTGCTTAGTGTGCTGATGCTAAACTGTGACAAAGGCAACATTCTCCCCCAGATCCACACACCCCAGTAACACCAAAACTAGAAAAAAAAACAACTCCTCAAAAAGAGCACTTGTGAGATAACTTGTTTGTGACAAGAATTGCTCAAAATGGCCTCAGTAGGGTGATAAAAAAAATAAATAAATATTAAATTGGGATGCTGTTCTCTCTCTGCCTTAAAGGCTGCAGCACATTTCCAAATACTGGGAGTTTGGTCCATGCAATTAAAAAAATGCAACTATTTCTCAGTTAAGTTAATCACCAAAACACTGAATCTACAGCTGGGAGGAAGTCTCCATTCCTCAAATGGAAGTTCATAAGAACTTCTTATGTCAGGCTTGTTATGTCACACGTGAAGTCACACTAGAGGTCACAATGAAGGCTTCTACTCATCATTAGTAACCTATTTCTGGCCACTTGGATGTTACAAGACAAAATGATGACACGGGTTAAATTTCCAAAGAGTAATTTGGGATTTACCTGTTGAGGTTGCTATGAGTCACATTGCCAATTCCAACAAGGCTGCTAGAAAGCAGATTTCCAGAAGTGAAAACTCCAACATCATGCTGTGCCAGCAGAAAAAAAAAAACAACAGTCTTTTAAAAAAAGAAAAGGAAAAAAACCAAACAAAACAAAATGCCACCAAAAAAAAAACCCACCAAAAAACCCATCCACTTTGTGCTTCAGCCATCAGGAACTGTTAGTCATCAGCAATGGGGCTGCTGAAAGAGCAAATGCCAGCACTTCCAAACTGCTCTTCACATCAGCTGAATGGAACATCACCAAGACTCTGCCTTCCCCAGTGTCACTGCCAGCAGGTCCCTCTGATCTGAAGAGATGAAAAAAGGGGAACTTTTGAAAAGGAAACAGCCAAGTACACCATTATAATAGCAGGGAAACCTAGGGGGTCTTCCAAGCTGTATCTAGAATATAGCAGAAAATACACAACGTTCCTTTGTCCAAAAGCAATGACAGGGTCCAGAAAGACAAAGTAATATAAGAACTGGCCCACATAAGAGCTTGCCAACGTGAGAAAAGCTACATACAGAAGCAGGCTCTCTAAGAAGCAGGAGTTGCCACCACCCTGCTCTGAAGGATGGGACCTCTGCAGTGCCCATGCCCTGCCTGGGCAGGATCAGCCAGTGCAGGCAGCCTAGGATCACATCCAGGACAGACCTGTCCATGTGCCAAGCTGAGAGTTAAAGCATTTACCCAAATGCCTCTGTTTTACTGCAGAAACACAATCCTGCTGCCCTGCTGCCTGGTTCTTGTGAACAAGCATCTCTTGGCAGTTTGTGGGAGGTGGGGTAAAAGTGTTCTAATAGCTTTTGAGCAACACACTTTCCTTCCTGAAATGATCTTCTTGGCAGCCATGAAAGCTGTTTCCTAAAGGTTCAGAAATACACCCACGTCACCCGGACACTCTTTAGGAAAGGGTGCTTTATTCATTCATGCAACCACTCGGCACTAGTGCCGAGTCAGTGCGTTTCCACAGCAGTGAGTACCCGTGAGTCAGAGCGAAACTGCACCGTCAAGATCTCTGACACGGCAAAGGAAACACAGGTAAACACAGCCCAGCAGCTGCCCCGAGCAGGGCAGAGTTTCCTTTGTGGAATGGGTGCATCTGGCTTACGTTTGTACTGAAGAAAAAAACCCCAAAAAAAGAACAACTAAAATGCCAAAAAAGAAACCAAATCAAACCAACCAACAAACAAACAACAACAACAACAACAAAAAAAAACCAACACCAAAACAAAGCAGGTTCCAAAACAGGGAGGAGGGAATTGCACAAGACTGAAAACCACTCTGCACACTCTGAGTGTCAACTGAAATGACTTCATGGAGACCTGCAGATTGATCAGAACATGAGAAGTTTGGAAACAAGCACTCAGCTCCTTGGCAGGAAGCACGAAGGGAGGAAGAGCTCCCGGTGCCACTGCCATGTCCCCAGAGACCCTTTCCTCTGCATCCCACAGAGGCAGCAGCACCTAAACCTGCTGAGTGACCCCAGTTTGCAGGGAAGTGCTGGGGCTGCATCCTTCACCCAAGGGAGCAGGTTCAGCTCTGGGCTTCAGTCCAGGGCCAGGCTGCCCACAGACCCAGCTCCAGGGCTCTGGCTCCTGCCAGCATCCCACCCTCTGGGGCACCTTTCTGTGCCACTTTCGATGCCCTGAGGCAACTTCAGCAGCCACGCAGGTCTTGGCAGTGAAGCTTGATCAGCCACGAGTTAATCTAAAATAAGCAAAAAATCTCCCAGGGTGGGAGCCAAGGGGGAGAGCAGAGCAAGGTGGGATCCCACCAGTGGAAGTGGGTTGAGTTTAATGCAGTGGGTCTTGTCTGAGCCTCCTGCTGCCCTCGCTCTGCTCCTCGTGCCCCGTGGCTGCCGGCAGCCCCGGGGAGAAACCGCGCGGCTGCCCTCGAGAGGGGAAGAAAAATGGGTCACCAAGCAGCTGTGATTCAGCTGAGCAAGTGCCTGCAGTGATTCAGGAGGGGGAAGGCTTCCTCCTGACCTCTGGAAGAGGCAACAACAAAAGGAAAGCAAACCACAACACAAAACCCCACACTGTCCCCACCTCAAACCCCTCCATTACTAACGCTCTATCCCCTCTGCTCTTACTCACACACACTCACACCAAACACCCCTCCCTCGTGCTCCCAAAAACAGCACTCAGAACAATCCAAATCTATTTTAACAAAAAGTCATTTGCATCTGTCCAGCATTTTTTTGGTGCAATAAGTTCCATCACAGAGGTTTGCAAATTCAATTTCAAAGAAGTTCAGGGCAGTGAAGGAAATGAGAACTGCTCTGTCCCAGGCAGCGTGTCAGAGGCAGGCTAGGAAAAACACACTGCTCCAAAACAACACCAGAGCTGCCAGAGAAAACCCTCTAACTAAAGAAAGGCCAAATTCACATTCACTTTCTCTTTCTTGGATAATAGATTCCCAAATCTGTCAGTGATATCTTAACACAAGGAAGCTGGAGGGTGTGTGTCCAAATATATATGTATATATAGAAAGAGAGGATGAAGGGGGAGAGCGGAAAGGAGACGTCAGAGCCATTATCTGCAGCTCCAAAATGGTCTTTTATCAGCTCTGGGACAAGAAGTCTCAGCACAGCACACCCAGGCCCTAGAGCCAGTGCTGGGGCTGCTTGGACAGGGCTCATGCCCATTTCTAGGAAATGAAATAGGATTAAAGAGCCAGAAATGGGAATATTCATGTTACACACACATACCTTTGAACACCACACCCCAGTGTTACAAGCCCTGCTCCCACCCAGCTGCTGGGCACAAGCCCTGGGGACCTGGAGCATCCCAGCAGGATGGGCTAGAATCACAGAATCACCAAGGCTGGGAAAGACCTTTAAGACCCTGAAGTCCAGCCTATGACCAACACCACCACATAGGCTAGACCATGGCACTAAGTGACACATCCAGCCTTTCCTTGAACACCTCCAGGGATGGTGCTTCCACCACTTCTCTGGGAAGTCCATTCCAATGTCATTCCATGTCCATTTCAGTGGCTCCTCCACCACATCCCAGCATACCACAGGACTAACCTCCATGGCAGCCAGGCACAGCTGGGGACCACAGTCTTGCTGAAGGCAGTGACAATTAACCTCAACTTCAGCAGAGATATGCATTAACTGGGAAAAAAAAAAATAAACAAGAAATTAAAAATCCATCTTTGAGATTATTCTGTGTATTTAGGACAGCATTGATTGCCAAAGGAGGAGGCAGCACATTGTCCAGGTTCATTAAAAGCAATGCTGCTAATTATGCATGGTGCTGGGGATCTTGAGAGCAGGTTTGATGTGGAGGCTTAAAAATACAAACATTTTTTGCCCCCCAACAAAAGGGCATTCATCTAAAAATAAAGAGTAACTGTGAGAATGCAGAAGTAACCTTACACAGCACCTTTTCATCTTCTCATTATATCTGAAGCTTTCCTTTTTAGCCACATTTAAATTTACAAGAAGCAAGCAATGAAAAGAAAAAAAAAAAATACAACACAAAAATGCAGAGTCTAAGCACAAAAGATTTGATGGGGTGTGAGGAGAGGAGGGGGGTCAAAAGAACAGGAAACCCAAGTTGACGGGAAACCCAAGTGACATTTGGTTTTTAATGAATGACTTAAAACCCCAATATTGCTCGTCAGGAAATGGGGAGAGGAAACAGCCGTGTTTTGAGAGTATAAATGAGGGGCTCCATCAAGGTGAAGGCTGCAGATCTGCCTTGTTGCCCCTCCCGGGAAAGCGAGGCAAGGCGAGCAGCCCCGTGTCACAGGATGTCACCCAGCCCAGCCCTGCTCCTGCTGCTGCTCTGGGCCACCAGCCCTCCCGCCCGCGCCGGCGCCCCAGTGCCCACCTGCCTCCACTTCTCCGAGATCCTGCCTGCAAAGCTCAAAGAGCTGAGGATCAAGTTCGAGGAAATTAAGGATTATTTTGTAAGTATAACCCTGCTGGTCTCTCCTCCTTCTCGTTTTTCTTCAATTTTTGCGTGCGTGTGTTTTGCAAACGACAGTGATTTGGAGGCGCTTCCTTCCCCGCAGAAATTATTTGGCCGCGTCTTGTGTTGCAGGCTGAGCAAGAGCAGCTCAGTTTCATTGCTTGCTGAGAGACACCAGGGGAGGGTTTTCTTCCTAGTTTGTTATAATGAACTCATGAGATTTCATAAGTAAACTCTGTGAACCTTTCTAGCCAGATTTCGCCCAAAATGTTGCAGACCAAATTATTCAGTGAATCAATAGGAAGGAACCTGCCCCTTCTTCAGGGCAATGAAGCCCAGCCTTGCTGAAGTCAACACCAGTTAAAAAGGGAAACCTACAGACTTTTTCTTTGAAAGTACCACATAAAGCCTGAGCTTGGTGGTTTATGGCTGGAGCTAAGCTGCAGTGCCCAGCACTGCTGCAGTGCCTGTAAAAGGTCCCTGCTTCACACTGCAGGGAACAGCAGCACAAGATGCACCCAGAGCATGTGTCACGGCATCGGTACCGATAGAGACTGTTGGTCACATCTGTGTTACTATTTTTGTTAGTGCCAGTGAGTTTCAGCAATAAAACAAGGTAGGATTAGATTTCAGGCTAATGTCATGGCTTGCATTCATTGTCGAATGAACACAGCCGAGACTTGAGATTTAAAGCTTGCTGGAAACCTCCCAGGTCACTTTGGGAAGGAATGATTTTAGACTCTCCGGAAAGCTTTGGTACCTCGGTGCCATGGGGTGATGCTTTGGGTGCTGTCAGCCCACCCTGCTGCAGTTCTCTGGTTTCCCAGAGCTGATGGTGCAATGGAGGCACCACAAGAACAAACACCCACTGCGGATCCCTTTAACCCCTGGGCTGGAGACACACAGATAACAAAAATGGGAGGATTAACCACAGGCAGGCAGGCTGGGTTGGTCTCTCCCTTCCAGGGGCTGCCATGTCCTGGACACCCATGGAAGGAGTGGGGTGATTTGTACCAGCACCCTGGCTCCAACACCCTCTGCACCTGGAGGGAGTGGGAGGAGTTTCACATTCAGAAAATCAATGTCACTGAAGTTTGAGGTCTCATTATCTCACTCTCTTGACCTGGCAGTGTTTGCACTGCAAGAAAATAGACCAAGGAGTGGGTGACTCTGGTACCTGGTGTCACTGTGGTATGCACCCAGGGTGCTGGGTGCTCCCTGCCTTCACCTCAGCCAGACCATAAATGCAGACAAGGAAACAATTTGGGAGGGCAGAGGGAAACCCAGCTGGGAGTGCCAGGTAAAGCTCACGTTTTGCCTCCTTCCGCAGCAATCCAAGGATGACGAGCTCAGCATCCAACTGCTCAGCTCTGAACTGCTGGAGGAGTTTAAGGTAAGAATCATCATTCTCATCTAAATCCCTTATCCCTCATCCTTCAAGCAGTGTTTTGTAAGAAAGGAAGCAGATCATGTTGGGGCATTTCCTAATGTCACACAAAGCCAGTTCTGTGGCAGCAACACTTGTGTCTGTGCCAGGACTGACGCATGGTTCCCCCTGGCAGCCACAGCCAGTGGTGCCAACACACCACAAGTGCTCTGCCCACCA